ACAGACAAGTAGAAATCAAAGTCGAGGGAAGAGAGTATAAGATACAGGTGAGACTGCCGGCCGTAAGAGTTGAATGGGCATGAGGTTAAGTCAGACGGGGTAGCACACCGGAGGCAGACTAGGGAGAAACTAGTATTCTATTTCATTATGACACTGAGAGAAACCAAAGTTTCTTCAGACGTGCCAGTAAAGACGCCGCCAGGTTATGTAAACATGTGGAGAGAAGACAATGAAGAAAATACATTATTTAGCAAGGACGGATTTTAGGGGATGGTTGATGTGGCTACATCCCCGCCTCCACTCCGTGTGTTAATTAGAGAGGAAAATCCAAACTTTCCGTAAGTTTCCTGTAATATCATACAATGAAGCCAAATCTGGCTCATTACATTATTCTTAGGACCCCTGGCATCTGATTTTGACTTTAGCACATCAGAAACATCCCTCGAAAAACCCTAGATCCGGCATTCTTCAGAGACAGGAGGGACAAAAAAAACATCATGCATGCTCGAGAGTAAAGCCCATGCACGGATATTATAATAATAGGGACCGAACGCCACGGTCTATGGTGGGACTCGAACCCCGGCCGCAATGGAAGCAACCACCTTGTATAACTCCCAGAATGAGATACAAGCAGCGACAATGCGAGCGTGGGGAAAGGTGGGGAAATAAATACTACTTTCATTTAGCTTGCAATATGTATAGTGCTCATGAATTAGCCCTTACAGACTTTGTAATAATACAAGGAACGCTGAACCCTAACTCCCTAGGGGGTGTGCAAAATCGTATTGAAATTGGAGGATTCAGGACTGTTAGGGTTTGTTGTTCCCCCTAAACTTAACATTGAATGTTTTATAAGCAATCTTTTAGTTATTCTGGTGCGGTTATATAAAACCGCTTTCCTGCTGAGGTCCAGAATGCATCTTCTATATACCTAAGATGTAATGACGTCACACTTTGTTTACATGTGCGCTTTCTTATGTAGTAGGCGGACCCCACTTTATCTGGAGTCCCGACTTATCACCCATAGGAAAGCGCATATGTAAACAAAGCCATTACGTCATTACGTCTCAGGTCTATTGATGGTTTTAAATACATGTATAAGACACTTTTGTATCTTTTTAAAGTACTTTTTGACGCTTTTTTAATACCATTTCACCAGTGCTTTTTTACAGGGCAACTTACCTGCTTAGGTCAACTAATCCTTGACGGTGTTTTAAACGTAAAGGGTGGGGGAACGGGGATTGAAGAAGAAAAAAAAATTAATGTACATTTTTACTATCATAATAGTTATTCTTTTTTGTTATTATCTTAATTGTTCATTTTATTATTTTATTATTCTCTCACTATTTTTATTGCTTATCACAGGACCATAATGTAAAACAGCCTTTGAGCTGATATTTTGTATCCTGTATGAAGATTTTGAAATAAATGAGTAAAATGGTATTCTTTGCCTGTATTTTGCCTGGCTTATCTGTATTATTTTGCAGAGTATGGAAGGTTGTGTAGTCTTATAACATCACAGTCAAATACTGCTGGGTTAGTTCTTAAAACTAACTGGAAATGTTGTCGCAATGGAAAATAAGCCTAAAAATCAAATTTACGTTGATTGCAGAATTTCATTTAACAATTAATCCTTGTTTAATTTATCATTAGTTATTTTGAATGATTTCCAATGGCGGGTGCATGCACCCAGTTGACCCTATAATACAACGTCAAGTTTGAATGTTTCCAAGTCAATCTACCCACAATTTTTGATGGGTAATTACTAGTCACTGTTTTGTTTCCCTCGCTTGTTTTGTTTTTTTTAAACACGAAGCTTCCGTAATACATTCACAATCCTGAGCAAGGCAATGAAGTATGAAGAACTTAAAATGTTGCAATGTTTGATCGTTATCAAAGAACATAGCTTCTCTGTATGTGCACTGATTGCCCATCAGATGATTCCGAAATATGTTCAGTTCCCATATGCTCCAATGCAACCATTTGGCTTACATCCGAGCTGGCCCTAGGAGTTGGTATAAGTATAACCCCGTCGTATAAATCCTCAAGGGTGATTGTCAAGGGCTCTTGGGTCGTGCTCGTTACATGTATACCAAGCACTCGTGAGAAAACATCCCAATCCGTTGTGTATTCATCACCTAAATAAATAACATGTTTCGTTTTGTCAAAAGAATGTTTCCGTGTTGTAGGCCTTATGTACATTGTATGTCTTTACTTTCTCAAGCCAATAAGTCAAACTCGTTTTCGAGGGCTCCAGGGACCATTCGCCAATTTGTCCACAATGCAAAATTCGTTTTATGTTTGCAAACGTCTACTTACCTCCTGTAACTTCTCACGATCGACTGCCATTCCTTTGCCAGAGGGGAGATATCAAATTTATTGTAATCAGTTTAAGCACTCCAACGACTAACGTCTAAAAGCAAACAAACGAACACACACAAAAATGTGACGATATAGACGTCAACAAAAGCGAAAACACGCACACATGCCGTGTGGAAATAATTGAAAATGTTTCGAGATGAAATTGGATAGGTTAAAAGCTCCACTGGAAAACAAAGAGCGATCACTAAAAAAAAAAAAGGGAAGGATTTGTGTTTTCTAGGGTTGCGAGGTACGTGTTGATACTTGAGATTCGCTCTTTGCATGAGAGGGTGTCATAGCCTGCGCCTGTTTAACACCCTAGTGCTGGGTCAGGGTATACGCATCGGCAACGCCGACCCAAACGATATGGGCTCGTGCCCGGTACATGGCCCCGCCCGAGATGAAAGGGCGCGGACGCAAGGCCCGCTTATGTTTCCCAGACTAAAATAGGGCTTGCTATGACACTGTTTTTGAAGTGTCTGCCCCACTTCCTTCGTTTTCTATTGTTAACGTCTAGTACGATCGTGGAGGAATAAGAAAGGATAATGTTATTGAAGGAGAAAAGACAAACACCCAACTGGAAAGAATCACATTTGAAGCAAGCACCAAAAAATGAAACTTCCATAATTTTATTCATTTCTCACACACGAGAAAACTCTTTTCGTTTAGCCTATAAAGGTTTCTGAAGTTAATTTATTAACACTGGTATCGTTTGAATTCCTTGGAGAGATACTTTAATTTCGTTCCAGAACTTCGTTGGGGTCCATTGTTAATTCAGATTTCATCTGGGAAAACCTATATACTATAAGATAACAAAAAGAATGCATTCCTTTCAACCAGTTCTTTAAAAAAGTTAACTTGTCCGGCCGGGCCGGACATGGGCAATGGAGGTCATACAAAGCACAGTCTCTTCAATTTCATAAAAATGGACATGACATATATCTAAGTAGGCTAGATACTAAACAGCACGAAAACAGGCACGCAGTGAATTTCCCGGTTTTCAGGTTGGATCAGATGAAAAATTCTGCTAGATGCATTTCTGCTAGATTTAACAAACATCTGCTAAATCACCTACAAATCACACCAAAAAACATTATAATAAACACTAAGTTACAGGATGCAGAATGTCTATAGCCTATACTATTGTGACGACAGTTGTGCCTTGCACAATAATGCTTGTCACTTAGTACAGGGTGGCGCTGTTCTGCGCGCTGTACATACCCTCGTCTGATCACATTTTTGTGAATCGTTAGTGAATTTCGACTCCAAACAATTGAGGTTCTCCCCCAAAACTTGACCTAGGGACAGAGGTAATTTGATAACTATATATTTTATAGTTCATAGAATTATTGTGAGGTAATTTTGAGTCATTGAATAATGTTATTTGTAATGTTTTGAGGATCAATAATCACACGATAAAACCAGTTTGTATAAATGTGTTTGTGCAGCGATATATCATCAACGAAACATGTACACTGCACCCTATGTGCCCCTCGTGAACAATGGATTTAGATCTGGGTATAATTCTGGGTTTTATAATATGGTAAATCCTCTTCTTGTTTATTATAAACCTGTGAATTATTTGGGGTCATATCATAACATGCTTTATGTCTAATTCCACATGTTAACTACACGTACTCCACATGTCCACTTTACATGTACATGAAGATGCACTTTATGCATGTGCTTATTATGTCCCTTTGTGTTTTTTATTTTCCACTTTTTACGTGAATGATGTGAATCAAGTGATATGTGAATCAACTGAATCAAGTGAAAGTGACAACTATTGAAGTGAACATCAAACTCCAGAATAAATTAAACGAATAAATCAAACTTTGAACTGTTAATTAAACCTCAAGAAAATTTTGTAATTAACCGATTACCGCCACAACAGCGTCAGGGGACCTCAACGAACAGACTGACCTGCCCGTCCCCGCTGTATTCAAGGCTTTGTTTGAAATAATTGAAGCTCGTTCAAAACAAATCTACATGTTTCTGTTAGGATCACCAGTATTGTGTTGAAAATCTGCTAGAGCTTTTAGTCCGCTAGATTCTCTTCAATTTACTTTCTGTTTTCCCCCAGAACACTTTGGCATAAAATGAAATGGTCACCCTACGGATTTTCGTTCAATCCAAAGACATGCTTGCACAAAAATATATTACTAAAACGGAAAGCCTGTCTTGTTTTGTACTCAACATAGTTCAGGAAGCTGCCGGAGCACATGAACTGTGCAGTCAATTTCCGGATCCGGGTTCTGCACAGCCCATAAGATAGATCATCAAGATTCGACATCCATTACTGCTCAGCCTGCAGTGCAACCACACGAGCATCAAAATGGACTCCAAAACTCGTCGGAACGTTGCTATCTTTGTCTTTGTGTCTGTCTTTGTCTTTTTGTGCTTCGCAATTGCGGCTCTGCACGAAATGCCGTTGGCCAAGCTTAAACGTTTTGCCCGACAAGCGCGTGATGATGGTAAGCGTCTCTATTAATGCCACAAAACAGTTTTGGCGGAAAAAAAGGGGTAATTATAGGAGAGAAATACTCATTTATATGTTTTATCCAATAGGAAGTTGTGCGGGTCTGACTTTCGTTTCGAGGTCCGAGTGGGGCGCCAGACCTCCCCGTTGGACCACGGCGATGCCAGGGACCCCTGAGTACACATTGGTGCACCACACCGACACAGGGTCCTGCTCCACTCCACAGACCTGTTCTGCAAAGATGGTAGCCTTCCAACAATATCACATGGACACCAACGGTATGGAATAGTCAAGTACAACCTTGCTAGAAAGAGCAGAATAAAATGCTCTAAAAATTGGGCAAGTGTCAGTGGCGCAGGGACGGTGGGGATTGGGAGTTTTACTTCACCACCACCCCCCCCATTGTTATAGTATATTGAACAGTAAAAACGAGGGACTTAAAATGATGCACATAAACCACTATTTAAATATGTGTATTATGAACAACGCCTTGGGAGTCATAATGTCTATACCCCTCCCCCTCCCTCATGGAATTTCAACAGCTTATAGTAAAAAAAAAACCCGTGTTAGGTAGTGTCTAAACCCTCCTCCCCCAGTGACAATTTCAACTGTGGGTCCAGAGTTAGACAAAAAGTGCCCAAAATATGGTGAAACTCTCAACAATGTTGCAAACAGTTTAGGAGGTACAAGTGCCAATTTATTTTTAACGGTGCGCGGTACATATCGATACGATTGACAGGTTGATTCCCTGATTCGTTAATGAGCAGGGCCCAATTTCATAGAGCTGCTTAAGCAGAAAAATTGCTTAAGCACGAAAAAACATTGCTTAGTAAACTTAGGTTACCGGCCAAAACTCCATGTGATGTACATTGCTTGTGACTGGTATTTAGCTATTGTTTACTTAGCATAACAATCGCATGGAGTTTTGGCTGGTAGCCTGATTTTATTAAGCAAGACGTTTTTGTGCTAAAGCAAATTTTGTGCTTAAGCAGCTCTATGAAATTGGCCCCATGTTTCTTGAAGCAGTCTAGAGAGCATACAGTATTTTGTTGGCATGCCTCAGAATAAGAACATTTTAGTGACTTTCTGTGTTAGATTTTCTTGTGGTCACAAACGCACGTTCATTTCTGTACTGTCCAGGTTGGTCCGACGTTGGATACAACTTTGTGATCGGCGGCGATGAGAGGGTCTACGTGGGGCGTGGCTGGGGCAAAGTAGGGGCACATGCTAACTCTTCCTTCTACAACCGGCATTCAGTGGGCATTGCTATTACTGGAGAGTACACAGGCTCCTTGGTAACTTACCCAGCTTCTACCTTGCTTTAATAAACAACTCACTCAGGAGAAGCATCCAAGCGGCTTCCTGATGCATCGTTCCTTTCTCTACCACTTAAAAAAAAGAATTTCCGCAACTTTACTTCGATTGGTCATAAAAGATGGCAGCTATCCATGTAGCACTATGTTGGCGGTTTCCCATGCTTGGGGTCTTAACTAATTTTAACATTTTTCAGGTTTTTTTATTCTTATCTCTTTTTTTGTCCTCAGCCCAGTGATGGGGTACTTTCTGTTCTCAACCAATTGATGGAATGCGGTGTCGAGTCTGGCAACCTGTCTCCTGCGTACATCATCAAGGGGCACCGTGATGTGCGGACGACAGACTGCCCCGGTGATGCACTCTACAATGAGATTAAGACCTGGTCCCACTATGGAGATCTTGGAGCCACAACTGAAGAGCCACAGTCATGGACAGCCGATGTCACGCAGGAGATAAGTCAAGGTTTAGCTTGATTTTCCCAAAATAAAATTCACTTTTTGTTGTTTTGAATCCATATTTGACGAGATGACAAACTGAAATGGTCAACTAATGACACACTGATAAAGTCAACAGGTTTTTTTTTTTTTTTGCTGAAAGAGGTTGTTTGAGCAAATTTATGTCAACGAATAAGTTGTAAATTAATCACGTCCTACCTCTACTGTCACGTTCAAAATAACAAACATTTTTTTTATTTTAGCTTTTGAAAATAAAATGCATTCATATGGGGCCTAGGTTTCTTTGTAATCGCTTTACTCGAATGGTGTTGTCTAAGTCTTGGCTCCATTCCGGTTTGACCTGATTTTAGACCCTTATGTTGAATTGGATAGTGTTTTATCTTCTGCTTCAAGTAAGTGCATTTTGTTCGTATAACCATGGTTTCCAACAGATTTTGAAGACATTTATGAAGACTGAGCTGGGGAAGAAGTGCAGGTGCTCACTTGAATGTTCACTTGTGATGTCCACTTCATGCGTGAAGTTGGGGATAGTAACTTAGAAACAGCGACTAGACTTCTTCTGTGTTAAATAATTAGGCTTTTGGGCTTACAAATTAGAATAGATCAGAAAAACCTAAACGAATGAAACAGAGGTCTGTAAATCTAGAACGCGTGCATGCTGGCATTCAACCCACTACTGACTCTTCTTATCTGTATTTTATATGTGCAACTTAGGGCCTTGTTACACGAGATTTTTTTTTAAAGGAAATTTGTTCTAGGCATTCTCCAAGAAGAAAAAGACACAAAAGTGACAATTTTCTGTGATGTTCTGAGGAATTTCACTGCTGCCTTGCTCGTAGGGAACGCTGGCTTAGCTTGCAGCGCATTCAGGTTGCCTATTAAAATTGCCTCGCCTGGGTCATTCGCATATTCAAAAATATTAAAATTGGGTGCAGAATAGTTGGATGACCTTACAGTATTGCAAATTCAAATGTTTCTGATTGCGGAGTGAAGGGTATGGAATGAAGCAGTTTAAACAATCGGAAAACACAGTATCTGTTTTCATAGGTGTACATTAGTATTTTCACCCATCCAACATCCGGCAAAATGGAAAGGGGGAGTTTTGTGACGATGACTGGATATAACATTTTAAAATGAGCTTTAAAACATGCAACACTGGAAATGGCATCCCCAAGTAAACGATACAAATCCGTACTTGCTAATGCAGGATCGAATCATAATAAAAGAAGCAAGTAACCATCCAGAGTCTAATTTTGTATCGTGGTTGAAAAGTTCACCCTGCGAACGAGGTTGTGACGTGTGTGACCTAGCCGTTAATTCTATTTTCTTTTATCTTAGGAAGTTGCGAGGGTCTGACTTTCGTCTCGAGGTCCGAGTGGGAAGCCGTATCTCCCCGCAGTACCACGGCGATGTCAGGGACTCCAGACTACACAGTGGTGCACCACACCGTCTATGGGTCATGCGACTCTCTTCAAACCTGCTCGGCAAAGATGCTGGGTTTCCAGCGGTGGCACATGAACGCCAGAGGTATGTACCATTGGTGCAGGTCAAGCCATACCCAAACCAACTTGGAACAAGACCAACTGGGACTCAGACCAACTCGGACTTGAACCAATTACTCGGACCCGAACCAACTCGGGCCCAGGTTGGTCTGAGTTGCCTGGGCCTGAGTTGGGTTGGGTCCGAGTTGACTCGAAACCTGTATGGGTGTACGTGTTCTACATAACTCCCGAGAAGTGACACACACAAGGAGAACAACAGAATCCGTTCAGTCCTTGGGAGTTGGGTCTTATGTTGGAAACAGTCCTCTGTAGTAAGTTTGTGTGCTTAGTCTATGGGAGAGTGTTATTTTACAGGGACAAAGGGAAACCAAAGCATTGTCTTTATAGCATAGTAAAACAAGAGTGTGAGGAGGAAGAGAATAACTTGTAAAGCGCCAGTACTAGGCGCTCTGCATGCAATGGCGACCCCTCTATAAAGCGTTTCACTCTTATTAACATGAAATACTGTAAATCAGTACAATAGTGGGTGCAGTACTATAATTCAAGCGCTGTCAAAGTTGAATGTAGGCTTCGAAGAATCTTTCCTATACGCTGCCGAAGTCGTGACATCACTGAGAGGTCAACTCGGTGCAACCATGGCTACTGGGTCACAAAACACTGTAGGGGTGCACACCGGTAAATAGGCCTAAATCCATCCGCCGAGCTCATGAACAAAAGTTATACCCTCAAAATGTTCTACATTATAGAGTTCTGAGAGCCATAACATTAGGGAATTGGATACAAGTCCCCTGCAAGTCCTCCTGTCCCAATTCAACTCAGTTCCAATGAACTGTTACAAATGCAGTTCTTTGTAATTGCTCATCCACTGTTACTTGTGACTGGGCTTGTGATGGACTTGTGATGGACTCGACAACATCCATGGAAAGTAATAGGTTAAGGCTCCGAACAATAACAACTGTAATGAACACCTTTAAAATCTAAGTGTATAGGTTTTTATGTGGTCACTTTAACTCACTATCTTTTCAGGCTTTACCGACGTTGGATACAACTTTGTGATCGGCGGTGATGGGAGAGTCTACGTGGGGCGTGGCTGGGGCACCGTGGGGGCGCATGCTGGATCGGACTATAACCCGAATTCAGTGGGCATTGCGATCATGGGAGACTACACAAGCTCCCCGGTAATGTAACCAGCCTCAATCTTGCTTCAACACACTCCTAAAAGTCCCGGATTAGATTCGACTGAAATCCGGGTCAGATTTGACCTGACACCTTTCCGGGTCGAAATGACACTAACTCTGAGTCAGTTTTCCGTCCTGTTTGACACGGAAAGAGTCTTTCTGACAAGCACAGATGTCGTTTTTAAGCTATAGAAGAGTGTCAGGGCAAATCTGACCGGGATCAGACAATCAGGGTCAAATCCGTCCCCGTATAATTAACAGTGTGTTCATCACACGAGAGGCTAACTTCAAATCAAGTTTCGGTTGTACAAAAAGCAACATCGGCACTGGGTCCCCTTAAAGACATTACATTGCTGACGTTCATTAAACCCGGTTGTCTAGTCTTGTGCTGGCGGATTCCACAAAATAAAGTCGTAAGCTGGTAAAAAGAATTGTAGTCACCTCAATTTAATCAGCTGCTGAGCATAAAAGTGCAGATCAGATGAAACTTAACAAAAACAGGTTACAGCCAAAATGCCATGCAATGTATGTTGCTCCTGATGGTCCTCCACTGATTTTTGCTCAGTTCATAAATTTGCTGAGCACTACTTTGCAGCAGTTATATGAATAAGTTGTTCGTTTATATTAAGTTTAAGTGTTTTTTTTTATACGTTTTTCCTCATTTTTTTCAACAGCCGAGTAGTGGGTTACTGTCTGTTCTCAACCAGTTGATGGGATGCGGTGTCGAGTCTGGTAACCTGTCTCCCTCGTACAAAATGAAGGGGCACCGTGACGTACGATCAACAGAGTGCCCCGGCGACGCCCTCTATAATGAGATTACGACCTGGTCCCAATATGAAGCTTAAAACGGGAGAGGGCGCATGTCGGTTTTCTAGCTCCAAGTGGGGAGCACTTTTACTGACGTAGTAGGCCTATATATTAAATGTAGCTTAAATAAGACTTGACACTTTGTATGGCGGTAGTGTAAACTGGTGAGAGTTTTCGTTAAAACCATCTGGAAGGAATCTCTTCTGAGAAGGGGTGTGGTAGGTGGTTCTGAAAACAACAAACCGGTTCTTGTAAACCCTTATAAGGTGCTTCATAATGGGTCTCATATTTCTCATAAACTGTATTTACCTTTCTGTAATAATAGACATATCTCCAGCGCCTTGAGTACCTCATAGTTGGTAGATACGTGCGCGATATAAGTCTCCGATAATATTTTTTTTTTAGAACAACACATCTTTTCAAAACAGATTCTTTCCACATCATGTGTTTAATACCGCAAACCAGGCTCACTGATCAAATTTAGCTTTATTGACCTTGAATATGCAAGGCATTTATTTTGACAAAGGTTAAAATGGCTTTTGCTCATATACTTTTTCACTTTCGGTTATGATTTAAATGGACTTTGGAGTTGGAAATATGCTACTGAAATCTACTACAACTGAAGCTGTATTGAGAAAAAGTCCTATGGCGACAACAAGTTCAAAATATTCTTTTATTATTAGAGAGTTCGGAGAGCCATAAAATTGGAAAAAAAATTTTTTTAAATAACATTGAATCCATGGCTCGGACTTGGGGCTTCTAAATATGAGCATTCAATGGGCTCGAAAGTGGCGCTATTTTGCCTTTTTGTGATGGGGGCGTTTTTTCAAGACGGCTACTTTTCCGCTTTGGGAAAACTAGGGGTCGTCTTGTTTCTTTGGGTAAGAATTTTTCAAAAAGTCAGTGGTCAACCCACCAAAAAAATGAAAAGCAAATGACAGATGACATGTTGATCAACAATTTTCTGTGCAGCTTAAATACTTGTGAGAGTTCTGGGTATTTTTAAAAGAATTTCGAAGTATGGGCATTTAGCACTGGTGTCTATGGGAATTTTAATACATGTACATGGGTGCATCCGGCAAGGTTACAGTGGCAATGAATAGCGCCCTCATAAGAGCAAAAGGGTACATGTAAACAAAGATGAAAGCAAGTTACAAACACAACAGAATGTAACCAAGGAACGTTTGAAATACTTCCTGGAGACTTTTCTACATCTGCATCCGTGAAGAGAAGTGCGAGTTCGTATTTCTGTGAAGTGTGGATGAAATTAGGCACTAAAGGTGTTCTTTTTTTGCAATGGAGCGCAGGCATTATTTTTCAAAATGGCGATGGGCCACAGGCCTCCAATTAGGGGTGACCATCTTTGGATAGAATTTTCTTCCACAAGTCATCGGATTACCACCCAAAATTGAAAAGAAATTAAAAGATGATGAAACGAGCTTTAATTTGATGAGTGTTTCAAACACTTTGGAGAGTTGCGAGTATTTTTAATTGATTTTGGAAGCACTGCGTAAAATCAATAAGGTCTATGGGAGTCGATTTACTGGTCTGCACCCATACATGTACACTAACTTTTGCACTTCAAAGATATTCCATCATGATCAACAGATGGCGCAATTTACAGGAAGAGAACGCTATCTGATGCTGGTGGTCGTGGAAGTGAAGAACCGAATACAAGTGTGAGGGTATCGATACCCATTCTAGGAACACAACCCACACAGAATCGAATAAATTATGGAATCGATTACGCTCCAGTAATATGGTACGAGCCCCCCCCCCCCCTATTGTTCCCGCCCCTATTGATTTCCAGAGGCCTAACTGTCCGTAGAAAAAAACGGTCTACAATTCAGCACGCCTCCTGCTAAAATTCCTAGATCCAACCCTGTTAGTCCCCCTAAAATATAGGCTCTAGAACAGCGCCTGGTCAAACCTATTGGAATATTTCATTCAAACACAAGCAAAATACGGTCGCGTGGTCGACTGAAATGCAGTCGACCAGATGTAAACACCCAGGGTCATTCAAGCGTTTCTGCTGTTTTTGTATCAGAAAAAAAATCAAAACAGAATTTCCTGTAAACCTAATTCGGTTAAATAATAAAATTGCTGGGATAACATAAAACAAAACAGTATCCAACAATATATTGATAGCGTTCCCTGGCGGCAACTTTGAATGGCTAATCTTGTCTTTTTTTTACAATCATGACTTGAAAAAAAAATATTTAATGGCTTAATTTGTACCAAGTTAGTAATGCATTTGAATGGAAATTGTAGAAATTATGCCACCGGTACTTTTGTTTTACCTAAGTGTGTGTGTTTAAATTATAAAGCACTCTCTTATAGTTGTTGCTGTATAGCGCCTATAATAAAGCTTAAATACTCGGAATGTATAAAAAAAAAAAAGTTTAAAACATAAAAAACACTCCTTTTTGTGTTTCAAATATAGCGTGGTTATCGGTCACTATTTTTTAGAAGTTTTGCACGGTTTTTTTTAATGGTGGTAGTATCTGTGTACAATATTCGACGAAGTTTTTAAGTAGATTGATTACGTTGTCACTTATAATCTGGTTGCCAAGACTCTCTTATTTTTGTACTGAAGTAAACTTCAAAATGTTGTCTGCAAATTCAAATGAGCCCTGAGTCATTTATTTCAAGCTCAAGACATTTTCATGTGAAAGTATTATTATATTGTGCACATTCAATAATTCAGGTGAGAGGCTTGCTGGAAAGATTCTTTCAAAGTGTCTTTCGCTCGAGAACCTTTTTCCCTATCACCTAAGTAAAAATGTATTAAGACTTTCTTGTTTGTTTTGTCCACAACAGACCTCTTGCATAGGGCGCCCTCACCGAGGACATGTTCCGCTGCGATACACAATACACAAGAGTCGTACTTCGTACTTTCATTGGTTTTTTTTAATTTAAAAACTGGACTTTGAGCGGAGCTTAAACACCAGTCCATGCATGTCCAGTCATTCAACATGGATCTCTTGTAAACCATGTCCAATTTTTTTGATCCTAACTGTTAAAAAATCTGTGAACAAAATGAAATATCATTTTGGGTATCGTATATTCTAACACAACCTCTTGAATTTGAATATTTCGTTTGTTAATTGACATTTGACAAGAGGTAAACATTTCTTTTTCATGTCCCAGTGGCGCCCCCAAGGAGGCCCCCCAACAGGTTGTCAACAAATATTTGTTTTGTATTGTAATTTATTTTAGTCCCACGATTTGACCTTATATAAACTAATTGTTTTCTGCGGCCATAAACGTTTTGAAAAAATGTAACTTCAAAAAATGTGAAAATCTTGTTGAGCCCCCCCCCCCCCCCCCCCCAAAGCCAAATCCCGGACGCGCCACTGAGTAGTCTCCGTGCCTAATTCGTCATAATTGACAAGCCCGAGGTAGAGACACACAAGCGTCATGGGCTCCGAATCTCGTCTGAATATTACTAATTTGCCCAAGGAATATGCTAATTTGCTTAAGGCCAAAACAAAAATTAAGTCGGTCTCTGGTCAGCGCGCGCGTCGATTTTAATCATGCGCGTCGATCTTTTTTTTTCAAAAATGTTCCGCGGTAGCTCCAACAGCGCCCTCTATTTCCGCACCTCCTCAATTTTTTTTAACCAAAGAGCACCAAGGAATGGGAAATTGCACCCATGCAAATGATCGAAAGCACCAAGGCAAATTATGGAGGACACCAATGTACATGAGGACACCAAAAAAGCAAAATAGTACCCTCCTTGTCTGTACAATCCAAGCTTGAAGAAAGAAAAAAAAAAAAAAAAAAAAAAAAAAGCCGCGTGGCCGCGTCAATTCCGGAACTTTGGTCTGACCAGAGACCGAATATTTTTTTTTTTTGGCCTAACACAAGTTTAACTTGATTGAAGCTGTTCCTTGCTCTATACAGGGTGGTGCCGGCAAAAAACAAACGCAACCTCATACTTCCACTATTCAGAGATCTACACTATATATGTATAGGAAAGTTTGTTGGAATGAAAATGATACCAAGAACTTCCGATTTGGTCCAACAGTTTTGATTGCAACCGTTGCCTAGTGGTTAGGCATGCTGGCTAATGATCGGAGGTCTCGAATTCGATTCCTTGCTCTGCCCCTTCAGCTTTTGCTCTCTTGTTTTCAATAAGTCAAAGTTTTATCTTAGAAACGTTATTTTCAATTGGATACTACTTGTATAGCAGCAATTTTCTTTTTCTTTTCTGATCCGAGGCTCTGGAGGATTTTCTTTAAAAGGGAAATAAAGTCCGAAATCCGTACCAAGTTGAAAAAATGGTAGTCTCCACTCAAGCCTGGTTATTATAACTATGCCTCATAGGAAAGCGCACAAAGTACCCCAGATAGTTGTGTAATAATAAATATCGCGGGGGCGACGGGACATTTCGCTGGTTCACCCCCCACCTGTACTTTCTTTGCCGGTGAGGGGTACTTGTGAACAGAGTGGGAGTGGGAGCCTACTGCTCGACACCATGGGGATGAAATTGGGTGACGGTTGATCGAACAGTTGAATAACTTCATACCCAGATATGAGATAATGCAACGGACAAAACCATTTCTTCTGTTCACCTATTGTGTACATGCTAGACGCCCAGGTTTTGCAAGGTCATGTGATATTGTGATGCTAAAATCGAATCTCCGAATGTCCGTTAAATTGTGGTAGACACTATTACAGTTATCAGTAAACACAGTGTACGTGTAGCCAATGGCGCACATACAGCTCACACGCATATGCCGTTGACAAAATTGTGTTGCTTACTTCCTTGTTTTGATCATGTCATGGGGAATTCCATTATGCATAATGCAGTGTTGCATTTCGCAACCCGGTATACACAAAAGCACTTCCTTCTAGCGACATTTTTAACGGTTTAGCTTGAGTTTTGTAGTGTCTGCGCTGAGTTGGCCACCTTGTAATGTCCACGATGGCTCTTCCTTGCTTGGCTGTTGTAGGCATAATTTGTCTCTCCGTAGGAAGTAATGGCGTGTTTGGGAAGACCTCGGCACATGAAATGCGAAGCTCCAAGAACAAAGGTGGGTTAACATTCATGTGTCCATTTTTATATGTCATCCATGTTCATGTACATGGTGCTATTTAAAATACATGGCACATTATTCGCTCTCGTGTCCCTATACGAATGGTGGTGCCCCAAAATTTGGACTCCCGTGTAATCCCATCGCTCCTAGTCTCACACGCACGTGACCTGTCACGACTGTTTTAAACAAAATGTATGTTCATTAAGGCATGCGCAACAAAAACTTAACAGTCCGAATATTTTAAAGAGTCCAAAATTCACACTGCACTGGGACGTATAGCCTACTGCTTAAAACTAAAAACGTAGGACTATGCGGTGAAACTGGATCTGTGTGTATTTTCTGAGTTGAATAACAATTAATAAGATCTGACGAAACCATAGTGTCCGGCAAATTTTAAAAGACAGTGATCATAATTATTGCAGATAAGACCCGGGGGAAACAGTTTTTCAACTTGTTGGTGGATCGCAGGCGCTAAGGCTTCAGCACATATCCAACCCCCCAACCCCCGATAAGTTAGGTTTTCCACTTAATATTTGCAGGCTGCTTGTTTGTGGTGACAATGATAGATCAGGATTCCATTATTAAAATCCATGCAACACCAGGATCCTATGACAAAGACACATGCTATTTTGGGAAGGTCGGGGATACGGCTATTGACTTATGCACTGCACTTGTGGCTCGGTGGCCGTGGGTTAATCATTAAAAAAAATAGTGTCGCAAGTTGGCAACTGTTCAACTATAACGGGCATGCAGATGACGTCACTGGACCAAGTGAACAATGTTTTATACGGTCTAACGCATGCGCAACACGTGCGCTAGCCCCATAAAATTGTGTCTCAAATACTGGACTTCTTCCTTATTTTGTAGCCACACACCAATGCATGTTAAATTTCCTGAAATGTTGTTTACTGAATTGGAAATTTAGACTGTTTTCCCCGGGTTTTTTTCGCAAAGCAAGCTAATTTGCATGGGTTTAATTAGCAATCAGGAAAAATCGAAAACCGATACTTTTGTACGTCTAGTTTTGGTGTTATTTTCGGGCAAATTTGGAGAGAGTTTGACGTCCAAAATGACTATAGGATTTGTCTCGGGGTGATGGGTCATGCACCTCTGACCTTTCGATTTTTCCGTTTATTACGGAGCTTATTCTAAATTTAACATTTAGGAAACACAACTTTTCAGGAAATTGAGCAAAATCGCTCTATGGCTCTAAATACGGAAGAAGTCCTTTTTAGACACACGGGGCTAGCAATACGTGTCTGCCCGTCAACATTTAATTCGAAATCTGCGCGACTGCCCGTCCTCTATACAGCTATGCTGGATTTTCAACGCGGCAAAACACTGCATTTATAGATCTATTGTTGGTATTTTCGGCTCATGATGTTGGCATAGTCAGTGGCGTAGAGATGACAAAGGGAACAAGAATTTACTTCAGTCCACCTCCAAATTACCAGTTAAGGAGAAACATGGAACAAGTAAATTCTTTTGAATTCCGATTAGGTCTACAACTCTTTAATCAGATTTCCACACATTTTGAACGGAGGGGAAATATCCTACAGGGGAGACGTTTCATGCATGCAGTGTCAGTGATGAAAATAAAAGATGTTTAATGAAATACAAGAATGGCAATTACATGTGTAAGAAACGAATGAAACAGAGGCAATTTTGGGAGGCATATTCCAACTTGGCGACAACGTCTAAGACAAGAAACTGGATACAATTTATAACAGATCCGTACAGGAAAAACTGAGAACGGAACAGGACACAGATAAAACAAAACCAAACAAAAACAAACCAACAGACTGGGATGAATTGAAACCTAGAAAACAGGAATACTTGAAAATCACAGGAGAGAAAGAGGATGAAAAAAAATAGAATGATAAAAGAGAAGGAGCGATACATCTCCAGTTCTCGTACCATCTGTGGTGAGTCTGTACCTGCAGATATATGATTGCTTACCCCACCATCACCCCATACCCATCCACCCTACCCCATCCCACACCCCACCCCATTCCCACACCCCACCCCATCCCCACACCACACCCCATATACACACTCACGAGCTAATCTCTTTCCTTTCCCCACAGACTCCCCGTGCGATACATTAGTCTTCGTCAATCGGACTCAGTGGCATGCCAAGCCCCCTAAGGCTGTGGCTCTGATGCCGGTGCCGGTGGGGTACACGATCATCCATCACACCGACACTCCGCAGTGCTACACTCTCGATGAATGCTCTGCAAATATGAGCATCTTCCAAGAGTGGCATTTCAAGAAAGGTGATTTTATTTTAATAACCCGTCAGGAGACTATTCCGAGGTCTGTTGCTGACAACTTTATCCATAATAGGCGCACTGTATCAGGTAATAGTGGCAGGATTGTTAAACTTCGCTAGAACCATCCCATAATGAAGTTATCCGATTGTGAACTTTGCTGATAATTTCTCGTGTGGGAAGATCCGGAGAAGTTGTTTAGAATCATGCATTATATACCCGATGCAATGAGACTGCGGATAAGACTCTCCGCAACTATAAGCTTTCATCAGAAGATTGCCAAATTTATATTTTTGATTTGCCATAATCCACTTGTCTGAGTCAAAGGAAATCCACATTTTGCAATAATTATGCTCAACATGTAGGTGAAACTTGCTGGCAAAAAGTGTTGTTTTTTTCTTTCTGCACCACCCTTTATATCACAGTTGCAGTTGTTACTTATGTCAAGTTGGCACTGGGTGTCTTGTGATCGACTGGTGAAAGCTTGTGACAAATATTGCTTATTAACTTCTCATAGCCTGAATGCTAAAAAGCCAAAAGAATCACCACCATTATCAGTCATTTACATACCCGGCGCCTTTTACCATTTTTTCTTCTTCAAGGCTGGAACGATATCGGATACAATTTTGTCATTGGTGGCGACGAGAGGGTCTACGAAGGGCGTGGCTGGGACACCGTGGGTGCGCAAGCCGGGTCTACATACTACAACCACCACTCGGAAGGCATTGCGATCATCGGAAACTACATGACTGAGCTGGTATGTTGGATTTCTTATAAGGCTGGCTTAGCAAAATTAACAATTGTTGTCAATCGTGACAATCGAAAGTCAAGTCACATGCATGTCGCGTGCTCGAAACAGCTGATCGTCTGCTATAGTTCGCTGCTCCCATTCATGTGTGAAAACGTGGTGAAATAGCATGGGTACCAACTTTTTTATAAACTGAACACGTGATCGTTCTATAGCCCAATGAAAATACAGTATTCAAGACAAAGGTATAACAATAAAAGTTATTTTCAATTGATTCATAATGACCGCACTGCACTGAAATGGACAATACATTTAGCACGTATAGGCCTATATTTGAACTCATTCAGTGGAGTTACGGTGTGATCCTATTTCAAATAAGTGAGACTAAAAGGCACATTATGGCCTGCAATCCGCGAAGATTTTATATTTGAATTGTTTACTTATCCTGTTTCAAAGGTCTGATTGAAAGGAAACTAACCTAATGTCTTACCGTCCCCGAAAAAGACGGGAAAAACCGATTGTTTACTTCTGACGCCGAGAGCATTTTGTGGCATACTTATACGTGTTTTCAGCCGTGTCCATTCAATGCACGGCACTCATTGTGTGTGCGACACATAATCCACACAGCACAAATGCACTGGTGGAACATGTGCGGCAGGATGCACGACTAGCACCAACAGCTTGATTTTTGAGAGCCAAAATTGTGACCTCAACGAAATTCGTTCTGGCAAGAATAACACAAACACGTCCAGTTTTTAAGTGGTGGTTGTGTGGATGTTTACATCCTACTTTTAAATGCTTTTTGCAATGGACATCGTGTTTTGTAGGGCCCAAATTGGATACATTCCACGACGGAATGTCCCTTTAAGCAAATCTTATTTACAAGTCAGTCAGTGATGTGCAATATAGCCTGACTCCTCTGAAAGCAGAAATAAGAGACAAGGCAGGTAAAGCTGGTCCCCTTCATTTGAAGTCCTCATGCATCTGGTCTACACAATCATCGGGGATCAGCGAATTTAACCCATTCACTGGCGTTACTTGGTTATCCTGTACAATAGCACTACCCGGGTAGGGTTAGGTAGGGTATACCCGGCTTTCTTTACCAGTTTACAACCACACAGTGAGCCCTCTCAGACCAGCGAAGATCGACCCCCTTTTTTGTTTACTCTTGATTCTAGTCTCTTAAAATTAGCCAAGGGCAGAAAAGTGGTTCAAGCGATTTCTGAAGAGAGGCTTTAGGAGTTGGTGAGGGAAAAGCCAGCATTCTTCAACATTCTTTTGGTTTTGTAGCTTGGGTTAATGCTGGATCCACATTTTCAATCTGATTTTAATCAATTTGAAAAATCGAAAATGACCATGAAGATCTATTTGGCTCATTTGTTACTGTGAGTCCCCTTCACCAATGACATTGGATTGCCAAGCCTCCAAGTTGAATCGATTAATTTTATCCAAAAGTTTACAATAGTTTCTTTCTTTTAAACTCACATTTTTTTCTCTTCAAATATCATATAACAGCCGACTCCGGGTGTACTGAAGGTTTTCCATCAGCTGACGGCTTGCGGTGTCCATCTGGGCTACCTGACCGACCGGTACGTGCTGCGAGGCCACCGGGACGTACGGCAGCTCGGCCCCACGGATTGCCCTGGAGACAAGCTGTATGCCGAGATACGCACCTGGCCTCACTACCTCGAACCGACGGATGACGACACGACTTAAGCTTGATAAGGGTGCAACCTTGTATTAAAATTCCCATAGACACTAGTGCTAAATGTCCATACTTCAAAATTATTTGAAAAATACTCAGAACTCTTACATGTATTTAAGCTGCACAGAAAAAAATGATGATCAACATGTCATCTTTCATTTTATTTTAATATTGTTAATGCAAGAGGGGCACTTGTGTTTATTAGGGGCAGGTTTCCCATTACAAGAGATGAGACAATTATTTGTAGCGCGATTATATGCTTACACGTGTGCGTTTGAGGGGCAGTTTTATTTTCACATCGAAGGGGCACATTTATAGCCACTAGAGGGGCACTTATAATAATACTTTCGGATAAAATGCAATACAGAGAAATCTTGATAAGACAAACCTCAAGGGAACAGGTTTAAAATTTGACTTAAGCAGAGTTCTGAGTCAAGTAGGGTTGTAGGCCTATATCATTGTTATACTACTGAAGGCAATGGATTTTCTGTTTGACTTAACATTTGTTTTGAGTTACCAGAGTTTGACTTATCGATATTTCACTGTACTTAAATGAATGCAGTATGTGAGCGAATAAGAACTAATTAACGAGAAACGTTTGCAGCTATTCAAAAGTAACTGACATGTTTTAAAGCATACTTGATTCAAAGATAGTAATTGCACTAGCCTCCCTGTGAAATTATTCTTTCTGGTGTGCTGTCATTTTGAAGAAAATACTTTAAAGACGCATCTTTGGAAATTTCCATTTGATAGTTCGTTTTTAATTCTGCGAAGCCGTGATTGGGCGCGCTAGCGTTGGCACGACGCATAACCCTACGCGCGGTTGCTATAAATGACAAATCATAAACTCTACCCTTAATTCATGCAACACCCCGAAATTTTGCAGCATTGACCGATTAACATGAAGTATCCTTCCCGTTTGTATCACCCTTAAATATTTTCAACGTTTTATTTTTAACGGAAAAGGGGCTGCTGTTACTTGACCTTCACTGAGTCAAACAAAGCATATTAGTGACAGATCCAGGATATTTCAAATGTGGGTATAGCTGGGGAATTAAATCTTGGATTGTCTGAAGGGGGAAGTTGCCGAGTCGTTAAACTACTGAACAACCATTTGCAATAAAAAAAAAATAATTGCGTAACGTTGTTTCATGAAAATTTTGAGTAGCTGGGCGGTCATCGGTCGGTCGGTTGGTCGTCTGCGAATCTTTCCTTCAAAAAAACCACAAGACCAAACTGCTACCAAACTTTGAGCTCAAACGGAGTTTCAAATGTTACTGTAGATTTTGATGGCGACAAGCTGTGAAGATGCGTATATGCACATGATGTGCCACCACTGTCGAAACTGTGCCCCCCCCCCCCCCCCCCCCCCCCCGCATTCTCAATTTTTCGGCCACAAAAATTGTGGGTTCCTTTTCTCACACACATTTTTTAATTTAGGTCCTCCGCTCCACCTCGCACCAACAAAATGTTATGGAAACTAAAACTGTTCACATTTTAGAAAAGAGCAATTATGCGCGATTAAATCATCTCTCTCTAGGCGGCCCTTGTGGGGTCATCAAGGGCCGTCTAAAGAGAGTTGATTTAATCGCGCATAATTGCTCTTTTCTAAAATATGAACAGTTTTAGTTTCCATAACATTTTGAATAGGTGCAAATGATACACTCTACCTTTAATTATCACGTTAATTTGCAAACGTTTCTCGTTAATTCGTTCTTATTCGCTCACATACTGCATTCATTTAAGTACAGTGAAATATCGATAAGTCAAACTCTGATAACTCAAAACAAATGTTAAGTCAAACAGAAAATCGATTGCCTTCAGTAGTATAACAATGATATAGGCCTACAACCCTACTTGACTCAAAACTCTGCTTAAGTCAAATTTTAAACCTGTCCCCTTGAGGTTTGTCTTATCAAGATTTCTCTGTATTGCATTTTATCCAAAAGTATTATTGCAGGTGCGGTGGATCCTGGGGGCAGGGGGCACTTCCCCCCCCCCCCCTATTTTTCCAGGCCAACAAAAGTGTCCCTCTCGTGGCTATAAATGTGCCCCTTCGATGTGAAAATAAAACTGCCCCTCAAACCCACACATGTAAGCATATAATCGCACTACAAATATAATTGTCTCCTCTCTTGTAATGCAAAACTGCCCCTCATAAACACAAGTGCCCCTCTCGCATTAACAAAATTGTGCACCTTTTCGAAATGTAAAACTGTCCCTCGAAAGTACAATTTTATTAGTGCCCCGCTCGCATCATTAAAATTGTGCACCTCTCATGAAAAAACTGGTCTTTAAAAATAACAGTGCTCCTCCTCATGCAAATAAAATGAAATAAAAATGGTCACTTAGCTAGCCATCAAAACAAAAGTGCCCCTCTTGCGATAAAAAAAATGGTATCTCTACACATAATTATATATAGTCAAATTTATGGGCGGATCCAGAGAGGTTACTGACAGGGGCGGAGGATGTGCATGTGCAGAATGCCAAGGGCGGATCCAAGGGGGTGGGCCAACGGGGCCATGCCCCCCCCCCCCCCCAAGAACCCAAATGGTTTGACGTCACAAAAAAGGCAGCCACTATTCTTCCAGACTTGAAGGTCAGCCTTGACAGCAACCGGTATTGACGTTTCGGCATCGATGGCGGCGTTTTTTTACACTGACGTTGACATGAAGTTTAGAATTTCTTCTTCAGTTAGAATGTAACATTTCAATCATACCGAGCATATTTTCTGAGAAACACAACGTTCAAAAGGCCATGGTTTTGGGGGCTCACGAATTTCAATCCTCTGTTACAGGTCTTGGTACGTAATCGGATTAGCTTTCCCTGACCACGTCCCCACGCTTTGCCTTTGCAACCATAATGGCTGTAAGGACCCGGATCTCGACCAGAAATTAACGTTTGTTGGCAGATTTCTCAAAGAATGTAAACATGACAGAGCATTCAGTGCCAAATCTGCCAATGAATGGTTACTTTTGGCTTGATGTTTTAAACCCTGGTATGGAGTCATGTGGCACAATTTACAATATCCGTCTCCAATATTGTAGTAAACGTGTCATTTTTGGCAAAAAAAAAACAAATCTAAACAGATTTGATATTGAAACCAGGAACTGGACCCTCTCCCCCCCCCCCCCAAAAAAAAATAGCCGCACGAACTGATAAGCCGAACCAAATAAACTTGGAAGAGGAAAAATGGCTTTAAAAAACACGACTCGTACTGCAGGAACACATCTTACAAACACGGAATAAGGAACCAACTGATTATTTATTGTAGAAAATCACAGTTTCAAGCGACAGACATGGTCTATGACAACATGCGGTTAGAAACATGAAATAACGAATAATTTGCAGTTCCATCACTTGGGAGTATCGTTAATGTTCTTCGATGCTCCTTTAGTTGAAAAGTCAAATACCCCCACATGCTCTATCCATTTAAATGACATGAAGTTCAAGCTGATTAAATCTGTCTTTTAAGAAAATAAGGTGCATGTGTGGAAAATTGATTTTTAATTTGGAGGAGTAACTCAGGCCAACCTGGAGTGAGGAGTGGAACATTTTAAAAAAGCTTTACTTTTTGTCAGATGTCAATTAACAAACAAATTATTCAAAGAGGTTCTGGTAGAACATACGATATCAAAGATGATGTTTTTTGTTTGCAGTTTTGTTTTAACTTAAAAAAATGACTTGTTAAAAAACAGACCCATGTCGAATGGCTGAACATGCATAGCTATATTAGTTGAACTGTTGTTGAAGCTTCGCTCAAAGTCTGCTTTTGATGCGCCCCCCCCCCCCCACAACAAAAACATGGGGAAAAAATTAATCGAAATTTAATCTCGATATTTCTCTAATTTTTCAAGCTTCCATGTCTACATCTACACTTTTTTGCAGCCTGTTTTTTTTTAAATCTTTACTTCAAAAAGGCAACCTACCTAGAAAGTCTGCTATTAAACACAATTAGAAAACAACCAAGACTGATTTCAGGATACATTGTGTGGCGATGGGAGTCTAAGTTTGGGTGTAGCTGCAGGGAAGGTTGACCCGGAACCAGGTCATACTTGACTCGATACTTTGCTGGGTAAGCATTACACTTTCCGGGTAAAAAAATACCCAGGAATATCTAGAGTGAGTGGACCATGCCTGACGACAGGATTGGTTACTTCAATTAAGTGACAATGAAAGTACGAAATATGTACTGATGTGAATCACAGCGAAACAAAGGCCTGTTCTCAGTGAGGGCGCCCTAAACAGAAGGCCTGTGGACGTAACAATATGGGATAGTGTCTATACAATCCATCACTTTCCAACGATCAGTCAACTGACTGATTTTTGGAATAAAAAGTGATCTTGACGTGTTTCATGCATGGTCAAGTGTTATATCCACTGAGCTGAAACTTCAACAGATTAAAAGGCTTTGGACATTCTCCTGTAGATTGTGAGTGGCGTTATTATTGGAAACGAACAAAATGCTAAAAAAAAAAAAATATTTAATATGCCTAAACAAAACAAATTTTCTCCAGACAGTTTAAGAGTTTAAGAGCGACAGCTTTAATGTAGGTTTTCCCGGCCAATTTCCCAATTTTTTTGATCATTTTCATTATTGGCCATTCAATTTCGCGTGTTTTTGACACCTCGGATCAAATTCGGATTTCTTTTTTATTGTTGGGGCATTCAATTTCAGTTTTTTGTCACTCAAGATTTTGCAGCATTCTTACATTAAATTTTTGACATCTTTTGACGGTTGACGAATTCAAATTAGCGAACGTCGCTGGAGATATGACGTATGACCACGTTTTTCCGTTCTTATATATTATTTTGTTTATGAGCAGTCTTTTTCATCGTTCGATCATTCAAAGATGTTTTAATTGATATTTTTCCTATTTTCTTCTGAGGTTCATTTTTTTTTCAAAATCTTTGAATATAGAGGACGTTGTAACGAAATAGTGAAATGAAGTGGTGTAATCAGGGGTTGGGGAGTGTGCCGGATTGCAACGGGCTCGACTTTTTAAAAGCGAAATCGGGACGATGTGGGAGCAAAATCGGTACGGCGAAATCGGTCTGTCGGAAAAATCGTACAGGTCTCCTTCGGGAAATTTGTAGGGATGAAGAGCGAACATGTCCATGGTTGTTTGCTTTTAACAGTGCCTCCTATCAGATGATGATGCGAACCACCCTCTCCCCCGGACTATTACAAGAATACGAACTTTCAGCAATTTCTTAACAGATGCTTGAACAAATGTGAATATGTTTGCCCATTAATGAAAATGAATGCCCGATCAACCCCTTACTGCTGGTTCAGACGAAATTGAATGAACGATACGACACTTTTAATTTGAATGCATCTTTTACGGGGACGATTGAATGTTCGGATAGTGAAATTGAATGATTCTTTTCGATTGTCGAATGCCGATCTGCGTCATCTTTCAATTTCAATCTAAACCGAATGAGCCAGGCGTTAAATTGAATAAAAGGGTGGTGAAATTGGCCGGGAAAAATTATAGTAGGGCCTGTACCTGTTCGACACCACCAAATTTTGCAAAAAAATATGGAGGTGAGATAGCAGTATCATTTACATATGCTTTTAAAAATCCAATTGTAAAAAGTTACAACCACTCGAACTTGTTTTCGCTGTTGTACTTGTTTTTCTAAATACAGCTTCAGTTGTTAGAAATCAGTAGCATCTTTTCAACTCCAATTTAATTTAATCCATTTAATTAACAGCCGAAAAGAAAAAAAGTCTGAGTAAAAGCCATTTTAACCTTTGTCAAAAAATACCTGGAATATTCAAGGTCAATCATTAAGCTAACTTTAATATAGGCCTACATCATTACGACAATTCTCTGCGTCATTAAAAATGCTCTCCGCTTGGGACTAGAAAACCGACACGCGCTCTCTCTCGCTTTAAGCTTCGTAGTGGGACCAGGTCTTAATCTCATTATAGAGGGCGTCGCCTGGGCACTCTGTTGTTCGTACGTCACGGTGTGCCTTCATTTTGTACGAGGAAGGTAGGTTACCAAGCTCGACACCGCATTCCATCAACTGTCTGAGAGCACACAGCACCCCACTACTCGGCTGTTGAAAAAAAAAATGAGAAAGGAAGTCGTCAGAAACTTATTCATATAACTGCTGCAAAGAAGAAAACTGCTAAGCAACTTTATAAACTCAGTAAAACTCAGTGGAGGACCATCAGGAGCAATATACATTGCATGGCATTTTGGCTGTAACCTGTTTTTGCTAAGCATTTTAATGTGCACTTAGCAGATTCATATGCTCAGCAGCTTAATACAAATTGAGGTTAAAACAGTTTACCAGCTTACGACCTTATTTTGTGGAATCCGCCAACACAGGGCTGACAACTTGGTTTGATGAGCGCCGGCAATGTACTACAGGGTGAGTCAGAATGATATGTACCCAAATTAAAGAAAGTATTATCAAAACAAGTGCAAATGAGATCTAGATATGTTATAGGCTGGTATTTTGGACATATTTGTCGAAGGTTTCATGTATATCCACTGTACCATATTGAAGAAAAGCGCTAGCAAAGAACACACGCTACAAAAACAGTGACCACGGTTCCATGGTTAGACAAACTTTTTGAAATGGCGTAATGGTGTGAAGCAGTGTAATAACAAATAGAGACTGGTGACTGACTCACAAAAGGCAAAACCAATCATTTCCTTGTGCAGACTGGAAAATGAGCCACTTCAATGAAAATGGCATCAAGGGCGGACCCAGAACACAATTTTGGTCCCCCCCAAAAAGTGGGTCAAACAATTACGGCGTGGGGTTCGGGGCCCGCTTAAGGGCCCCGAAAAAAATTTGGATTCTAGATGCTCTGTGGTGCGATCTGAGGCAATTTCTGACCACTTTAACCAATTTTTTTTAGGAAAAGATGGTGGTGTACTCATTGCCTGCCTTTATTGCGATGTCACATAAAAAAAAAATTGGTTTCGTTTTTTTTTGGGGGGGGGGGCATGGCCCCCTTTGCCCCCCCCCCCCCCCCTCGGATCCGCCCTTGAATGGCATAACTCCTCACCACAGCCACTAATTTGAAAACTTCAAAATTCCTGTGGCAGACCAGGTAATAACAATTCATAGGAAAGACGCGGTTTTTTCTCAATATACTCTATTTGCCACCAATAAAATTAGTTTACTTGGGTCCAGATCATTTTGACTCGCCCTCTATCTTTAATGGGGACCTAGTGCTGCTGTTGCTTTTTGTACAACCGAAACTCGATTTGAAGTTAGCCTCTCGTGTGATGAACACACTATAAATATTGTCCATGTTTTTTCCGGAAAGCTGAGGGCGCTGTTGCTGTGATGTCATTTCAGGAAGACACTTTCCAGTTTAGGAGTTTACTGTTTGCTCATTGAAAACATCTGTGAGAAATGTTGCTCACTGGCTTACTGCTATGTATACTGACACAACAACGAATCACCACAGAAAGAAAATTTAGGACAAGAAAATATCCAAACTTTTAGCATTTTTGTGTGTACTTAAATTGCTGTAACATAAAGGTTTCTGCCTTGAATGACATCACACTTTTGCTCATGAATATGAAAACCAAAAAGGCACCAAAACACCCTTGAAAAAGGAAAAACAAAAATTTAAAATAAGGTTGAATTCGATACAAAGGTGCATTTTCAACCTTATTGCATAACAAAATAACATTGCATGGGTCCATTAAGAGTGTATTGAAGCAAGATAGAAGCATTGATCTTACCAGAGAGCTTCCGTAGTTTCCTATGATGGCAATTCCCACTGAATTAAAGTTATACCCTGGAGCATGCGCCCCCACGGTGCCCCAGCCACGCCCCACATAGACCTTCCCATCACCGCCGATCACAAAGTTGTATCCAATGTCGTCCCAGTCTGGACAGATATAAACATGCGTTTGTGACCACAAGAAAATCTAACACAGAAATAATCTAAAAGTGTTCTTATTCTGAGGCATACTGTATGCTCTCTAGACTGCTTCAAGAAACATAGTCATTAAACGAATCAGGGAACCAACCTGTCAATCGTATCGATATGTATAGTGCACCGTTAAAAACAATTGGTACTTGTATCTTCTAAACTGTTTGCAACTTTGTTGAGAGTTTCCCCACATTTAAGCTTTCTGTGACCAACTCAACGTTGAGCAAGAATTGCCACTGTTGGGGGGGGGGGGGTTTAGGCACTACCCAAAACCTTTGGACTGGGGCTATAAGGCACCCCCCCCCCCCCCCAAGTATGTCTCCGGTTTCTGGTATGCGCGCGCATCACCGTAGCCATGCGCGTCGGCAAAATGAAAAAGATTTGTTTTCAAATATGATGTCTCAAATCCAACAAACTCACTGGTTTGACTGGAATCCTGCTGCTGCACAATTTTAATGTGTTTTTAGATGGGGTTACGATCGAGTATAAGCTTTATGTGGCCTCTTTGGACTCCCAAATATTTGCACTAACTTTTGTCGGGCACCATTTGCAGTCATCAGTCTACATTTGAAGAAAAAAAACGGTAAAAAGAGCCGCGTCGCCGCACCACTTTTTGGGCAAGCTCCATACCAGAAACCGGAGACTTTTTTGGGTCAAAGCTGTGCAAATTCCTTGAGGGATGGGGGGGGGAGTAGACATCATATGACTCTTAAGACGTGTCCATTATACACATATTTAAGTCGTGTTTACTGTGCATCATTTGAAGTCCCTCATTTTACTGTTCAGTATACTGTAAAACTAAGTTGCTAAGGGGGAGGGGGGTGAAGTCAAACTCCCAATCCCTAACGTCCTTTCGCCACTGACACTTGCCCAATTTTTAGAGTGTTTTATTTCGTTCTTTCTAGCAAAGTTGTAGGTTACTTGACTATTCCATACCGTTGGTGTCCATGTGATATCGTTGGAAGGTCACCATATTTGCAGAACAGGTCTGTGTAGTGGAGCAGGACCCTGTGGCGGTGTGGTGCACCACTGTGTAGTCTGGAGTCCCTGACATCGCCGTAGTGCTGCTGGGAGATCTGGCGCTCCAATCGGACCTCGAGACGAAAGTCAGACCCGCACATTCTGATATTAAAACAAAAAATCAGTATTTCTCCCCCTATAATCATGGGCGTCGCGAGGGGGGACAAGGCCCCCCCCCCCCTCTGGAAAAGCCAAAAAAAAAAAAAAAAGGAAGAAAAAAAAAAAAAAAAAAAAAAAAGAGGCGCGAAGACAAAGTGGTGTAAATTAAATGAGTTGGGGGGGGCAAAATGTCCCTGCCCCCCTCTAAAACTGATAAATCGAGAATGTGTTGAGAAATACAAGCATTTTTTGGCCAAAAAAAATGTTGCCCCCCTCTAGAAAAAAATCCTGGCGACGCCCATCCCTATAATTAACCCTGTCTTCCGCCAAAACTGTTTTGTGGTATTAATACAGACGCTCACCAGTATCGCGCGCTTGTCGGTCAAAACTTTTAAACCCAGAGTCCATCATTTGCAGCTATCCAAAAAGTAACTGGTGTAATTATTGTTGAGAAACATACTTGGTTGAAAGACAGTACGGGGACTAAACTCCCTGTGAAATTATTCTTTCTGGCAAGCTGTCGTTTTGAAGAAATCATCAAAAGAAGGCCTTTCCAACTTCATAAGAAGCACCGTAGGAAATTCAAATCAAGTAGTTCGTTTCGGCAAAGCGCGCGCAAGCATTGGCACGACGCACACGCGCGCGCAGTTGCTAGAATTAATTCGTCGGATTCATAGAGCTATATTAAATTACAGACATCGCGTAGCTGCAAACGGCTCAGTAAGAACGTGTCTTAGTCCATGGGCCAGATATTGGTACCACCAGTCAGATGCCGTGTTGGAGAGGATTTCGGTGCATTTTGGTCTTCTTTGTGTTCAGCTGTAGGCCAACGATCAAACACTCCTCAACTGATAACAAAAGGGCTCAAGCCTGTTTCACTGTATTTTGAGTGCGATGTCATCCGCAAAGTCCATGTCAGTGATCATCACAGGAGACACTCGCCGACTCTTGCGGGGCACTATGGTGAAACCCAGCTCCTCTTGTCAACCGTTGATGGCCTTCCTCAGGGCGTAGTCGAGTACAATGATGAAGAGAAAAGGGGCCAAGGTGTCACCCTGAACCACTCCTGTCAGGATTTCAAAGCTCTCTGTGACACCACCAATTGAAGTGACCCTTGCCCGTGTGTTAGCGTAGGTCGCCCCAATGATTTGCACTAACTTACTAGGCATCCCGTATGCGGTGAGGATGTTCATCATTTTGACCCAGTGGATAGTGTCAAACGCCTTGCGGAAGTCAATGAAGGTGATGACTGCAGGTTATGTTTGACACCTTCAATAATTCGTCTCAGCGCAATGATGTGCCCCACTGAGGACCTCTCTTGCCTCAACCCATTCTGTGCTGTTCTAAGAAATGTGTCCAACACTGGCCGAATCCGGTTGAGCACCATCCAGTTAAATGTTTTGGCGACAAAAGAGGTAAGACTTATCCCTCGATAGTTGTCCGTACATGTGTGGTCACCAGACTTCGGAACCGGGATGATATTAGTACTGCTTCACTGATCTGGTATCTCTCCCTTCTCATATTCCTTGTTGACAAAGTCGAGCACGAGGTCGTCGATAGAGACATACTTCGGGACCTCTGGGACGACACCGTCCTCCCCACAGCATTTTCCAGCCTTGAGCGCCCCACATACTCCTCTTCGTTGAAGGGACCATCTTCGATGTCCAGGTCCTCGAACACTTGTTCTTCCTCCGCCTGCTCATCCATCATCTCTGGTTCATCACCAAGAAGGTTTCTGAAGTGGTTGAACCATGCCTCAACCCGTTGCTCATCTGTATCTCACTTGATCGAGAGGGCTTGGAAGACTTTCTATCAGTAATCTCGTTGATCACCTTCCAGCTCATTGCATGCGTTTGGTTGACCCGAGCTGCTTCCACCTCACTGATTTTGTAAATAAGCACTTCCTCTTCGATGAGATTATAGGTTTCGACGAGGGCCTTCTTCTTGTTGAGTACACCACTCGATTGTTAAGTAAACCACTCGATTGGTAAGGCTGAAGTCTGCTACAAGAGATCTGTAGGCCACATCAAACTCCTCCCTGGCTCTGACGACACGAGGATCCGATGAGGCTTTCGTCCTCCTCTTCACCTTGGGGACCTTGTCCATGCAGACCTTCGCGGCCTCCTCGTTTGCTTTCACAAACTTGTCATATCGGTCAGTTGCAGATTCCCCCTCCTCAGTCAGTACCTGGAACCGATTATGAACTTCTATGGCGTACCTCTCCTGCAGATCGCTGTTCCCTTGATCTTCTTCCATTCGTACTTCACCCTTCTTGTGACTGCCTTTCTCGGTGCTCGGAGGCTGAGACGCACCTCCGTCACCACCACTGTATGATCTGATCCCACTGTAGAGAAAGTACTGTGGGCGCAAGAGTTACATGTGTTGTAATAAGGCTGTTACGCCATTTCCTCCTGGTCAGGATGAAGTCGATCTGGGATTTCGTTCCTGCTGGTGACAGCCACGTCCACAGCCCTCCCTTTCGCTTCTCAAACAGTGTGTTGTTGACTTGAAGAGAGTAGTCCTCAATTAGATCCAGCAGACGCACCCCGTTGTCATCTGTTACCTGATGAAAGGTGAAAGGAAAGTCTTCCTGTCCCAGGCGGGCATTGAAGTAGCCAAGAATGGCAAGGAAGTGATGCTTGGGAACAGCCTCTACCGCTCGTCTTAGACCATCATAGAACCTTCTCTTCTCCTCATCGGGTGCTAGGAGAGTTGGTGCGTAGGCCACTATGGTGGTGAGGACTGGATTGCTTTGGAAAGAGGCAGTGGTAACTCTTGCAGGAGACCGGTTAACACTGATTAACGACCCCCTTAAAATCTTAAATAATAGTAAAATAATATTTATAAAGTTACACATAGTTTGGGTCGAAAATGAAATGAAAAGGACGAAAAATTAGACCTTCAAAAAACGGCAAACGGTACAAAACCGCACGCCGGCAAAAACGATGTCACCATGCACAGAGACCACGTTGGGGCCGTCCACTCACCGGCCCGGCTGGCGCCGTGCAGCAAGACACGCTGCGATTTCTCTTTCAGCGGCAAAAAAAAAGCGCTCTCACTTTTGAGTATATCATCCGCTGACTTTTGGGGGTATTCTTCTAAGCTGTCAAGGGGATATGGGAAAAAAATATCTCTCCTTCAGCAAACTTATTCCGTAAGACTGATTTTAACTTGTATGAACAACTTATAAGTTACATGTCGTATGTACAACTAATATATCGACAGGGTACGACATATTTCGACAGGGTACGACATATTTCGACAGGGTACGACCAATATCATCGACAGGGTACGACATATATGTCAACAGGGTATGACGTATCAAACATATGACATAATGTCGACAGGTGCCGGTACGACATATATGTCGTGCATATGTCGAGTCGACAGGGTACAATATATGTCGCATACTACAGAGTCGTATATAAGTACGACTTAATATCTCGTGTGTACAAAATATGAATTGTAACTCGTATGTTCGACTTGTTTGTCGATTATGTCGTACACACAACATATCTTGTGAGAACGACTTGTATCTCGTACGATTTACATCTACGACTTACATGTCGTACGTATGTCGTAGGTACGACATACGATTCATACGTACGCGTTAAAATACATGTGTCATACGTATGAGATGTATGTTGCACATGGTACGAATTCGGGGAGATTTTTTTTTCACCATGTACCTGACAGTTTCGTATATTTCCATCCCAAAGTCAATAGCTCGTTTCTTGCAGTTAATTCATACGGGTGCTTATAGATACGAGTTAACCTGCATTCGATTAAATGGGTACGATTTGCGGCCTGGGTCCGAGTTGACCTGTTCCCTTCATTCGCTGTCTGCAGAATAGCACGGGCAGGTAGCGGCGTGAAAATGTATGCTGTTGCACCGACAATAAACGTCGGCGGACTGTCTTGAACTGTCCAATTCGCAATACATTGAAAATAGTATCATTTTGAACAATTGTTCACTCATATAGCGGCATATTTCATTTGTTTGTAATAAAACTGGAGAAATGGTTTAAAATGGGATTGAAATACCTGGACATACCATGGTTTGAGTGAACATGCATGTACGTGGTGTATACAGTAATTTGCGGGTCATGAATATGTATGTCGCGGGTCAAAGTTTACGGGCTTTGATTGGATATCGTGTAATATATGCGCATCAGAAATTCTCAGCCGATTTCGGTCGAAACTATAAAGAAACACAAAAGGAATTCGCCACGGTTGCGTCAAGGCTATCTTCCACCTCGACTTACTGTACGGCTGTTTGCGGAAGTGTGTGTGCGGCGTACGTACATGCACACAAAGCACACGCAAGGGTCGTTGGGGCTAACGGTATAGTACAACTATATGGCGCGCGCGGTGTGCGGTAGCGGGAACAAGCTCGTATGGGAACAAGCTGATAGCCTTGGTCAAGGCTAGATTGTGATGTACATGCGAACGGTCTCCCCCTAAAGAAGAAATAGTCGTGACAATGGTGCATTAGTTAATATAGTGTGAATGATTTTAGGATTTTATTGGCGCTCCCCATTGAAAATATGGCATGAGCCCCCCCCCCCCCCCCCCACCCCACCCCACCCTATTGATTTTCGGAGGCCTAAGTGTCTGGAAAAAATAACCGGTCTACATTTCAGCACGCCTCCCTGAAAAAAATCTGGATCCACCGTGCTAGCCCCCCCCCCCCAAAAAAATATTGGTTCTAGAACCGCGCCTGGATAGCACTTAAGTTTTCACTATTAAGACGTGCCTAAATCGGCCTCCGTACCAAAAGTTCGTAATTAGCGGTAAATTAAGCTGTTCTTTAGTATATTTTGCACGAGATATTTTTATTCTTAAGTTGAAATTCTGCAAACGCTGACCCATACACTATCGTTTGGTGCTGGAATAAACATTCTAATTAAACACATAAGAAAAATAATTCCTTAGCAGGCGGCTAATTATTGAACTTTAACTCGTTCTTAAGCACAAAATGCACGCGAATATCCATTTTTAAGTTGTGGATCTCATGTTACAGTCACGTTAATAAGCTTTTAGTGAAGGTTTTGCTCTAGTGCTCAAAATTCTAATTAACGGTCAATAATTAGCGCTAATTAGGCCATTTTAAGTATGAATGGAATGCACGGGATTTCTCATTCTTAAGTTATTGGTCATTGATATGTTAATCGAATACTATCTTTTCGAGTTGGAACCGTGCTTATGCGCGATATTCTAAATACAAATCAATTTTGGGGGGTCTTTAGGCGGTGCCCCCTCCCAAACGCACGGGGTGTCACACTTAAGAATGACGGTTTCGAAGGTTGGACACCCCCACCTACTCGCTGCTACCATCAAGCCTTTTGTGCGCGATATTCTAATTAAACCCCACTGAGCTCTCGGACTATTATATTTATTTTGAATTCACACAAGATTTACCTCACATTAACCCCGAAAGTAAGGCCAAGCGACTTCACGTACTTAACAGAAAATATTCACCAAGGCATGGACTATCAAATAACAAAATTTAAACATGATTCTTCGGTTTTTTTATGAGTTATAATTGAAACAGAATGTCACCTTTTGAATTTATGATATTAAATCTGATATTAAGTTCAAAGTTAAAGGTTTGTACCGTTAACTATATAAAAGAAAATTCATGGAGAATTATAATCAAAGTAAATAAAAGGAAGAAAGAGACGAAGAATTTGTTTTTACATTTACGAAATGGTGATTAGGTTGAGCCCAATCACCCAAAAGCTTACCGCAACATGCCTCGTCGTCTCTACCCGGGCAATCGTAGTCGTCGTCACACACCCAACTACTGCTGATGCAACTTCCATTGTCGCAGGTGTATTCAGTATCACGGCACGCTTAATTAAAAAGAAAGAACAGAGTAAATCCGCATATATATGTTCTCGTATTCAAGCCTATCATAAACTCAACGGTCACAAAATGAACAAAAAAATCCTGCACCAGTGCCAGTAGGCCTACACATTTCAAGTAAAGCTTAGCAAAGACGACAGAGCATAGGCTTGGTAGCTTTGAGTAATGGTAGCTTTGCCACGGGTATACAGACAAGAAAATGCATCATTTCTTTTTAAAAGAAATTGAATTTAATGCTTAAAGAGATACAGTTGAAAGTTTTTATTTAAATAAAATAAGAATTACATACAATGATAAGATGACGTTGTGTTTTGGGGAAAGAGGGCTGTTTAATTTTTTTTTTAACTGTTAAATGAAAGTCTGGCAATTTTACCAGTAAAACAGAGTAATCTGCATCTGTATATGTATATAATGTATGTTGCAAGAAGTCAATTTTGGCATAAGAGCAACGGGAGAGAGGGGGTGCTCGTTGTGCAAAGTAACTTCTTGAGAGAGAAGTCCGCGGCTGATGAGAGATTTGAAGGTGTCCATGATTGGAAGGATTTGAGGGCGCTCTTAGAGTGAGCTGCCATTTTATTTTCTTGGTATGCTCTGTGATTTAATATACATTTGTTCTCCGTCCGTGTTTGCTATCTCTGCTTTTCGGGGTGTGTATGTATCGTGTTGATTGAAGACTTGTGATCATCGTAGAACTCACTTTTACTGTATTTTGTGATTTGGTGACTGAGCTGTGCCGTCATGAATTTTTGTCTCCATTCGCACCACTGAATTGAATGGAACTGCTAGATGAACTCTATTGACTCATACTACTCGGCATAATAGGGTGACATTACGCCATCTTTTGCCGTAAACGACTACAAACATCAAGGTACGCGGTACGATTGTCAGCCCTGTACAATACTTTATACATAGCCCTCGTCTCCTTAAGGCTAGGTTTACACTATGTTCCCGGCGGCCACGGCAATCACGTTTCTAGCCACCGTGGACAAAACGGTATGGACATGAGACACGCGGGGGGACGGGATGGGCAAACGTGACAGTCCGTGATTGCCGTGGATGCCGGGCCAGATTTTTAAACTGTCAAAAAAATTGGCCACGGCAGTCACGGTGCGGATGAGAAACCTAGTAGGTCGTAGTAAAACGGGGTGAACGCAACAAAACGTGACAGTATACAAATATAACATGGTTAGAGGGTGGACAGTCGATATTCGCTCCCCGAGGTATTGGAAGTTGACAAACTAGTTCCCGAGGCGAAGCCGAGGGAACTAGTTTGTCAACTTCCAATACCGAGGGGAGCTAATATCGACTGTCCACCCGAAATAAACCATGTTATATTTGTTTTACTATACCTCATACATATTCAGTTGCCGAATTTTGTTTTATTATTATGCACCTAAAACAAAATTCGGGGAAACTTGTACAGCTCACCAAAAAATTCAACTTCAATTACTAGTTCGGTTCGTTTGCAATATAATACAGTTACTACAGTTGTAAATACAGTTGTTTGCAATGTGTACAACTTTCTTTTGTACAGGAGACATCTTTACACGGTCTATACATTTTCTCCAGTACGGTTTCATTGAGCTCTGGAAATTAACATTTACGCGAACCATGCAACCATGCATCACCTGGGCCATGTTCGCGCGTGCGTACTGCATCCGTGCGACATTGCTCTGTAAAGCGCATGCGTAGTAGACTGTCGCACGGGTAACCCATGCGACAGTCTATTACGCATGCGTATTTACAATGTGCGTGAATCCTCGCGCGCGCGTTTGGTAAACAGCAAGAATAACATCTGGCACGTGATGGTGAATTGACCAGTGAAGGTTTGGCTCTCGATCATGAATATGTATGAGGTAAAGTAATACGTGATAGGCCGTAACAAAACTTGGAGACGGTCCGTAGTGGGACGGGAAGCATTTCCCGGCATATCTCACGGTCCATTCAAGTTTTGTCACGTTCTGCCGCGTTTAGCGGGCGTTTTGTCACGGTTGCTGCGCATTTTGTCCAGTTTTGCTTGTTTCTCACGGCAAGCTGGGGTGTACGGAAGCCGTTTCGTCGCGTTCAAACTGAAAAAAACAAACCCCGTTTTTTCGAACTGTTGATCTTTTTTTTTAAAGAAAACATTACGCTCACATCCCACTGGAAGCTTATAGAAGGGTCTTACTCGGAAAAACGTTCCCTTTGGGGGATTTGTTAAGTATGATTTGTTTTATCTTGTGTCAATAAACTTTAGATACGAGCAGTTTAATCCTTTATTGATACATATTCTTATCTATTAGTTTGAACTCTGAAACATCTGCAAGAACTCTTCGTTTTGAAGAAAAATACCTGTGTTCGGGTTTCATATCCTGTGTAAGTACTTCGCAAACTTTTAATCATGAAAAAATTCCACTGGACAGCTGAGAACGATACTTACAGGTGTACACATCTGACGCGGTGTTCGTGCTATGCCAGCACGTGTGTGTGTGATTTCAGCGTCTATGTACATGTACACTGTACTATGTACTAGCTCGTGAATACGCGGATGGATATTCACATGATGTTTTCCTTGCTTTAATGGCACAAGAGTCCCGAACCGTTTTTTTAGTCGTCATTTCTGCTAATTGAAGTGTTGCTTCCATGGTCTGGTATCATGAAGAATGTTACCTATACGCATTAGCAGCAGAGTGGGATTACTTGCCCTATTTGCCGCGAACGTATACATTCAACTTTATGCGTGCAGCATGTGTACGTGTATATGTACATGTAGGCATCACTGAACCGCAGAGTCGACTTTCTGCGGCACATGTTGCATGCGGTATAGCCGAACAATATCGGTTTGAAAACGGGGTGCAACTCAAAGCAGTTGACTAGTTGCAAATTCTGAAACATGGTGTGAGGATGCTTGATGACGCGACGGGCCATCGATCATTATGTGAATAATCCTGATGTTCCAGCAAGCGCCTCGATCGACATTAACCATGGCCATTGGCCGCATGCCCGAGTTGGCCGCAATATGCCCCTTCAAAACAATTCCTGGTTCTCAGCCAACTTGGCCAACTTGCCCTTTTTATTCAAGTCACATGTACGTACCAATAATTATTCAACGTTTAACAGAACCCCAAAATCACGGTGAAAATGTTTGCAATTGCTAAATTCGGAAGGAAGCCGACGAGTTTTCCCAGATCGCACTCGCCGGCAGTGTTTTCCGCTGAACTATGTAAATCAACAGATTTACGTTTGTGTCAATCAAGTCGAGGCCCTTTGGCAGCTCAAGCCCTCCCAATGATCTCGGTCCACATGTCCCGGTCCAGCATGCAGGAGCGGAGCTCCTCAGCGGTGGTCAAGCCGGCGGTTTCCCGTTTCAGCATGTCCACAAAGGAGAGATTTCTTCTCCCATCACGTGAGGCAGTGCCTCACGTGGGCTCCCAGAGAATGATCAGGCTAGCGGCCAGCTCCAGGTGACGGACGCTATGCCCTGCAAGCTTGAGACGGCGTTCCCGGATCTTTTTCGCCACCTTCGGCAAGCCAGCGTAGAGGTCTACATTTCTTATGTGATCCTGCCACGGGATGTTCAGGGCCATGCGTCCACAGCCTTCCCTTTTGCTTCTCAAACAGTGTGTTGTTGACTAGAAGAGAGTAGTCCTCAGTAAGATCCAGCAGACGCACCCCGTTGTCATTTTGTTACCTGATGAAAGGTGAAAGGAACGTCTCCCTGTCCCAGGCGGGCATTGAAGTCGCCAAGAATGGCAAGGAAGTGATGCTGGGGAACAGCCTCTACCGCTCGTCTTAGATCATCATAGAACCTTCTCTTCTCCTCATCGAGTGCTAGAAGAGTTGGTGCGTAGGCCACTATGGTGGTAAGGGCTGGATTGCTTTGGGAAGAGGCAGTGATAACTCTATCAGAAGACCGGTTAACACTGATTAACGGCCTTTGTGCCACTCTGCTCAGCATGAGCCCGACCCCACAATTTGCCGCCTGAGCTTCATGCTGGGGGGGGGGGGGGGCTGGAACATTTCATGGGGGGGGCGTCATGTAGATCAATGATAATTTTATTAGAAACTCAAAATCTCAGTGGGGGAGGGGCGACTCGGGGGCGACAAGGTTTCATGGGGGGGGTGCTGTCGCCCCCCCCCCCCCCCCCCCACTGTAGCTAAGGCAGTGGTTGACATAGTGCCAGGGCGTGTCCACACGCCGGTGGGCCTGCGCACCATATTTCTGGGGCCCACTGCTGCTCCGAGTCATACAAGTTGCTTTTATTTAGTGTCAAATACGTGCACATTGACACATGGCAAACGAAATGACTTATTGATGTCTAAGTAATACTCATCCAAGTATAGCGCCATCTATTGACAGTTGTCATGACAATAAATTCGTCATCACGTAGAGTTCATCATCACATGGAGTATGATTATTTGATTTGCGAAATTCTATCTTTGTCTTAGAAAGCATATTTTTTTTAAATGTTACTATCTAAATGGTTAAAACAGACCTAAACCAACACTTTCAAAACATTAATTAAGTTTGGTTTGTTTCACAAGGGAGACAAACAAAAGATTAATGTTTAAAAAAATGATTAGCCATCTAAAAAGCTTGTGTAATATATTAGTACATTATATACATCTACGAACAGTGCCCTCTAGAGGCAATATATATTTGTACGTGACGTCATTTTAAAAACCTATAGCAAACCAATAATTTGACCTCATCATTATACAACAAAGCATAATGGTGTATTTGCGAATTGTACAACCATATCCTAACCCAAGTGCTAAGAATGTATGTAGTAAGCTCATTCTGACTAGGCTTAAAAAGTGGGCATTTAACTACCACTAAGCTACTACCCTGGGATTGCTATCACATCAATTTATCATCTTTATAGACGTAGACCTTTCAAAAAAAATACCGTGGACAGCACCCATCCTGTTTCTTCGTCATCCTTATATTTAATTATGTGAGTTTAGTTTAGTCAATAAATTATTTGGACCCAGATTCTGTTTCACA